GCCCTGTTTTTTTGATTAACTATATTTGACTAACAACTAAAAGCAAGCACGGTTACAGAAGCAAATGGCATTAGTTAAAATCAAAGAGAACACATTTTTTTAATCTAAAACAGTTTCTGTTCCACACAAAACAAAGTACATTCTTTTACTATCAATTCCTGCCTTTCAGAGGCAGCCCAGGACCGTTGCTTATTTTATGCGGGGCGCCGTGGGCAGTCAGGGCCCTACACAGAGCTGCGCTGTGAGTGCCGCTCCCCGTGCGGTCCGGGGGTCCTGAATTGACAAGGCACCCATATCTGAGGCCCGGATTCACTCGGACAAAGTCCCAAGGAAACTCCATCTGCTAGGCATTGTGCTCTAGCGCCAATAAGAGTCTCCGCCACAGTGGCTTAAACAAATTAAAGGTTTATTCTCTCATAAACACTGCATGAAGGCAGCCCAGGCCCGGCACGGCCCCATCATCAAGACCCCAGCCAGGCTCTGCCGCCTTCCAGGCCCCTCTCCCAACGCGAGGGTAGAAGACACTGGGGGGGGCGGAAGTCCCAAGGCCGGAAGAGACTCCACTCCCGGAAGTCCCACCCGGCGGCTCTGCTCGCACCCCATTGGCCAGCCCTTGCTGCAAGGGCCTCTGGGAAATGCAGTCTTTTCGCTGAGCACACTGTCGCCAGGATGGAGGTCGGCTTGCCTTACTAAAGAAGACGGGAGAATGGGTATTTTCTGCCAGAGCGACGTATCCTAGAAAATCAAGTTGCTTATTTACAGAGGAGAATACACTTTTCCAATGTGCAGGGCACGCTTATCTTATTCTCAGGGACCTCCCTTCTCAGGGTCAAGTGTTCGAACAACAGGGTTGTTGGTGCATAGCCTAGAACCAGGACGGAGAAGAGGACAGGCGTGTGGGGTTTGGGCAGCCTCGTCAGGACCCTCGTCCCCACCGCGCTGCGCTTTCCTAGGGAGCAGAATACTCAGGCCATTCATTCATTCCGCCACACACAGCTTCGGCACACACGCCTGAGTGATCACCGGGCAGGAGAGGCGGTGTGGCCTGCGGGGCCCGGGTGGACTCCTGCCCTCCGGGACCTCGCCGCCTGGTGACGGAGGTGCTGGAGCGGCCACACGCACACGCACGTGGTAACTGAAATGGCAAAAAGCGATCCCCAGCTGAGTGGGCTCCCTCCAGCTGGAGGAATCAGGTGCAGCTTTGTTGGCTTTAGGGCAGCGCCGTGAAGAACAGGCAGGATTTGGATGCCTCTCACCTCCCCACACACTTTTCTGTCCCTGGACTGCCCTCGACCCTCCCTGCTGTCCCCCTGCTCTGCCCACTGCCCTCTTCAATGCGCCTGTCAGGCCTCCTAGTCAGAACACAAGGCCCTCCTCGTTTTTACCAAGATCGGAGACTCCGGGAGGCAGACTGTCGTGTGTTAGGGATCATGTGCTCCCCTCTGTCTGTCCCAACTGGTCTGAGGCTCTGGACTCGGGTCCATGTCATTCAATTTTGCATCGTACTCACCTCGCGACTGAGAGTCTTGTGAACAACAGGTGTTGAAAAACAGTTGGTGGTGGTCAGGGCATTCCAGGCAGAGAGCCAGCAGAGCCCAGAGGAGTCTGAATACCTCTTGGTCCCCAACTCCTGTTTTCCTCCTGTTTACTTTCATAATTAACCTGTCCATTTTTGAGATTACAATTTTGCCATACATTTTTAGGGGGTCTCATGCTTACATTATTAATTTTATAAGTGAGCTATTTCCAAATAGGAAATACTATAGGAGGCAGGTACTATATTTTCATATTTAATTACAATCTGAAAAGTGCTATTTCCTGACCTCACCCCAGCTTCCAGGGTTGGGCCCATGTGGAGAGCTGTGGCCCCTGCTTGCTGATTTATAAATCATGGGAGTGTTACTGGGGTTACGACCCCAATATGGTACCATCCTCTCTTATTTGGGAGAGAACTTCTCTGATTGTTGACCAGGTGTCGGGAGCCCTGTGTCCGACTGACTTTTTTTTTTTTTTTTTTTTTTGAGACAGAGTCTCACTGTGTTGCCCGGGCTAGAGTGCCGTGGCATCAGCCTAGCTCACAGCAACCTCCAACTCCTGGGCTCAAGCAATCCTCCTGCATCAGCCTCCCGAGTAGCTGGGACTACAGGCATGCGCCACCATGCCTGGCTAATATTTTCTATATATTTTTAGTTGTCCAATTAATTTCTTTCTATTTATAGTAGAGACGGGGTCTCGCTCTTGCTCAGGCTGGTTTTGAACTGCTGAGCTCAAACAATCCGCCCGCCTCGGCCTCCCAAAGAGCTAGCCGACTGACTTTTGTCTGGAATAAATCCCTGTTTCCTTAAGGAGGGCTGCTGGCATCTCTTCGGCTCCCAGACAATACCTGGTTCTCCTTGAGGTCGGCCAGGCCCATGTGCCTCAGCTCCTGTGTCAGGACTGCATTTCCCTTTCTCGGTCGTTACCACGCACATCATCATGTTAGACCCAGGAGCCTAGAAATCTCTCTACAAAGAACCTGATAGGGCCATCGACTTGGGCTCCCACCTCCCTGCCCTGACGGAATTCCACACTGACTATATCCAGGTAGCAAGGCACTTTGGGGAATTCAGAGATGAGCAAGAAATCGTCCCTGTCCTTGAGCAGTTTTCAATCAATGGAGGGACAACTAATTTCCAGGCAGAATGGGAATAGGGCTGAACAGGCATGCTGGCCACACACCAGCAGAGTGCAGAGAGAGGAGGGGTGCGTTCTGACTGGAGGATTAGAATCCAAAGACTTCTTAAGGAGGATGAGAAGGAAAGCTCCTTGGCACGAGGACTGAAGGGGCAATCGGGGCAGGAAGAACAGCCAGCCAAAGCACAGGCATCTTCTTCGAATAATGGCCGCCATCTACTGAGCACCTACTGCACGCCACACACTTGGCACATGTTACCCCCGTCTTCAAGGTAACATACATTCAAGTCAAAATGGGACGCCAAAGACCAAGCTCTTTCCACTCTGCCTTGCTGAGAAAATGGCAGAATCAAGAGATTGCCCAGTACAGGGCAGGCATAGGCCATGGAGAGGGAGGGCAGTCTGAGGCCACTCTCTGCCAGCTTGGAAGAGCTAAGGCCTAAGGACACTGCTGGCTTGGAGGATGCTGCTGGGCACATGGGCGCGGGAGCCGCCAAATACTGCTTAGTGGATAATGAAAGGAGGGACGAGGGTAGGAGGAATGGTCCTGTTTTATTTTTTTGGAAGTAAAGAAGAGAGGGCCCAATCCAAGCTGCACTGAGGAAGGTTACCCTAGCAGCAGTCACAGGGACTTGGGAGAGAGACCAGTTAGGCGGGCGAGTGAGCAGTGGAGAGAGAACGAGGGATTCGGTTGTCCTTGGAGTGGAGGGGGCATGGCAAAGCCACAGGACACGCTGATGATGAAGGAGGGGACTCGAAGCCCACGCCAGCGGGCTCAAGCCTGTTTGTGTGATGAGGACACCGGGGTGTACAGGGCAGGTGCTGCTTTTTGACCAGGACCTGCAGAAAGAAATGCATGTTACATCTGACCCAACACACACACACACACACACACACACACACACGCACGCACACATACACACATCCCGAGCATATACCACAAATCAATTTTCACAAAAACTTCTTTAACTTTGATGCAAGTGATTTACACTAAATTGTTCTAAGGAATTCTGTACCATTTTTTAAAAAATCTAATTGCAACCTCTAGGTCGATTTCATAGCCAATTAATAGATTACCACTGAGAGTTTAGAAAGCACCGAGATAGCACGCGGCCGGGAGCAGGTAAACATGTGAGGCGTGGGTGGAATGGGTTCAGTTTCTATTATGTTCAAGGGCATTTATTGGGCTTCCCCAATCTCGAGCTCAGAAACGAGCCCTGGGCTAAATAGTGCTACATTTAGAAGTCTTCATCCTACTCGATCTCTCTCTCTCTCTCCTCTCTCCCTCTTTGCAGACAGGAAGATTTCTGGGGGAGGTGGATGGTGCTGTCATGACCCAGCTGGTCGGCATGGGGGTGTTCACCCAGTAAGTGGGACATGCTCCTCCCCACCTGACACCCACGGCTGAGGCCAGAGCTGATGCTAGGTGGACAGGCAGATCTCGGGATCCCCAGCTCAAAAACCCACAGTGAGAGCCCCAAAGAGCTCCAGAAGCCACCTTTCTGGAGCCAGGGACGTGAGGTGGGGAGGGGCACAGGGCCATGCGGGCCCCCCTGGGAGGGCCTCCCCAGCTCAGCCCTTAGAGGAAAAACCACCCTGAAAAAGAGCAAGCCTTTTGCTCTCCTTTCTTTCAACCATTCGAACTGCAGAAATGGGCAGGGCATGGGGGTGGCACTGCACTCACCGTGCCCTGTTTCTGGTTTTCAGAGTGACCATGTATGACTACCAGGCCATGTGCAAACCCCCAGGTCACCACCACAGCGCGGCCCAGCCCCTGGTCAGCGTGAGTCTCACCCAAACCTCCCCCAGCCGCCAGCAAGTCCTCTGCCCTGTCGTAGGGTGAAGTCCCCCAGGCCTTGCTCTCGCCCGGCCCCAGCTGTCTGGCCCCAGGACCCCCACTCTCCCACCTCTGCCCCGCCCCACTGCACTCAGCACTCAGCCTGCGTCCCCTCCAGGCCCGTGCAGTTGCCTTTGGGCTTCAGAGCAATTGCTCTGGCGGCTGGGAAATGGGGCTGTTCCCAACTTCACTAGTGCTGCCACACAATCACAGGGACCCCAGCGGCTTGGCCCTCAGGACGAGACGACCAGTCTTCTGGAAGGGCTGTCTAGCCCTTCCGGAGATGTCTGACCTGCAATAGGCGCTTTCCAGATAGCTCAGCTTTGCAACAGCCCCTCTGCAGGGGAAGGCAGGAGGTGGTGGCGTGTTCCCCGGCCACCCCGCAGGGTCGGGGCAGCCCTCCGCTCTCTAGGGGCGGTGCTGGGGGCGCACCCAGGCACGTGGACCAGGGTGCAAAGGGCGTGCTCTCCTTTCCAGCCCATCTCTGCCTTCCTGACAGCGACCAGGTGGCTGCTGCAGGAGCTCCTGCTGTGAGTGGGGGCGGCTGGGGGAGGGCTGCGAGGGAGTCCTTGAGCAAGAGCCTGCTGTGGCCTCCACTACACCCCAGGGGAGGGGGGCAAGGTCCCTGGGCGTGTATGGCACCTCCTTCCCACCTACTGCTTCTGGGGGGACACCTCTGCTCACCCCAGCGCCCTCGAGCAGCGAGCAGGCTGTCCTGGAGGAGAGGGATGGGCAGGCTCCTCGGGACTCCAGGGCTGGAGGGCTTGTGGGCCCGAGTCAGCTCCGTGTGTGACAGGTGGCTGCTGGAGTGGAGCGCCCGGGGCTGCTGGCACGGCAGGGGGGCCGAGGGTGAGTACACGGAACTGTGTGCGAGGGAAACCTTTCACCTCGGGGCGGGCGCTCTGAGGCCATTCACCACTCGTATCTCATCCCTCATCGGCTGTGGCTTCTCTCATCACATCTGCTCCCCTCCCCGTTTCCCCACCTCTCCGTGTGACATCGCATCACTTCGGACACCACTGCTCTGTGTGGCATCATCACCACCCCATGGCATCCTGCCCCTGTGTGACGCCACGCCCTCCCGTGCTGTGTCCACTCATGCCCGGCAGCCAAGGCTGTCTTCCATCACTGTGAGTAGCGCCTGCCGAGAGGGCCCTGTGCACGGTGGGGCCGGGACACAGCTGGCACCAGCAAGGGCCTGCCTGCAATTCTCCAGCCCACGATGACCCCAGGAAGGGGAGCGTTCTCTTCATCCTGTGACACCCTGACTCAGGGGACCCTGGGCTCCTCTCCGGTCTAAAGCACCATTCCTGGGGCCGAGGACGGGGAGTCCTGCCCAAATCTCGTCCCGCACGGGGACAGCCCTGCCCCAGGGAAAACAAAGCACTCTGGCCTCCTCCCCTTGGTTCCGAAGGGCAAAGAGTGGTGCGCTCCAGGGGCAGGGCCCAGTGTGAGGGAGCAGTGCCGGGTCGCCCCTTGGAGAAGAAACAGTGGCAGCCCCAGCCCAGGCGTCCATGGCCCTCAGGTTAGAGGGGGGTCACCAGCATGTTCTGAGGGTGATGCCCCTCCGAGGACGTGGTGTCTGAGGACAGAGTCCCCCAAGGCAGGGAATGGTGAGATAGTCCCGACGCAAGGCCAAGAGGAGCGTCGTCTGGGCTACGCAGGCGAGGCGGCTGAGTGTTGGACCCGCTCTCTCGCCCGTAACCACCAGGGCTGCCTGGCATCAGCCAGTTCTGCTCAACTCCTCCTGCTAACAGAGCCTCTCTCGTGGGGTTTCCGAAGTTCCGATGCTGGGACTGCCATCTTTGGCTCAGAGTTTGCTTTTTTTTTTTTTTTTTTTTTTTTTGAGACAGAGTCTCGCTGTGTTACCCGGGCTGGAGTGCCGTGGCGCCAGCCTAGCTCACAGCAACCTCAAACTCCTGGGCTCAAGCGATCCTCCTGCCTCAGCCTCCCGAGTAGCTGGGACTACAGGCATGCGCCACCATGCCCGGCTAATTTTTTCTATGTATTTTTAGTTGTCCGATTAATTTCTTTCTAATTTTAGTAGAGACGGGGTCTTGCTCTTGCTCAGGCTGGTCTCGAACTCCTGAGCTCAAACAATCCGCCCGCCTCGGCCTCCCAGAGTGCTAGGATTACAGGCGTGAGCCACCGCGCCCGGCCAGAGTTTGGCTTCTTGATAAAAAAAATAGTAACGTCCACCGCTGTCCTCTGCCTGGCCTGTTCTGTCCCGCTGCCCCGTTCGGGCCAGCTCCCCACCCTGTTTCCAGGCTCCTTCTGGGGGGCAGCTCACAGTCACGTGGTGTCTGTGCAAGACCACCAGCCACATGCCACACCCACTTAGAAGCAGGCCCGTCCCCCTTGCAGGGAACAAGGACTGACCCCATCCTGGTTGGGGCACAGCCCCTCTCCGTCAGCAGCTGCTCTTGCTAAAGCCAAGAAAGATGCCCTCAACCCGCGGGTTCAGAGCGCCTCCTCTTCGGGCCAGCTGACCCTGGGCCAGGCGCAGGTGTCCTCAGTGAAGGAGCACTAGACTCAGAGTCCAAGGCTGGGCTGTAGGCACTGCTGCCCTTTCCCAGCTGTGTGACCTGGGGGAAGCCACGCGACCTACATTGCTGTAGTTGTGTTGGCCTCTGAGGTGAACGCACCCACAACCGGGTGGCTCAGTGACGGGAGGCAGGCCCGCCGCTGAACCAGCCCCCTTTGGGGACAAGGCCAGTGTAAGGGGGCCCTGGAAGGAGCAGTGGCCCCGTAGCAGTGGCCGAGCGCCTACCCACTGATCCCAGGGACCCAGAGCAGGGAGCGCCCGGCCCCAGCCCTTGCTGACCGGGGACAGAGCCCGCTGAGCCCTGGGGGATTGTTCCTCCCAGTGAGGTTTTGCTGCCTGCTGACCAAGTGTCCCCTCTTGGGTTCAAGGTCTGGTAGGAAGTTTCTGGGTCTAGGAGTTAAGCAGACCTGTGGCTCTCCTACAGGACCCTGTGTGACCCTCCACTTCCAGGTCCACGACCTCCCGCCCTGCCTCTGTCGCAGACAGGCCGCGAGGACAGAGCAGAAGGCATGGCAGGGCTTTGATGAAATAGGAGTGGGGGATGAACTGGCCTCCAGCCTGCAGCTGGCCCTGTCTTCTGCCCCCCTCAGGGCCACCCTGGCAGGAGCAGACGTGGGTCCCCAGAGCAGGACTCCCTGGGACTCGCGCTCGCTGCGCCCTTGCCTTAGTGGACTAGAGCACGCAACCCACAGGAGCCCCAGGCTCAGCAGTCCTGTGCCCTGGAGCTCACCTGCCCAACCCGACCAGCCGGGGCACTCGGGCGCTGCCTGGATAGGGACGTCAGGCCTGACCGCGGGGTCGAGGGTAGTAGAGCCAGGACTTGGGGCTGCATTTGGTCCCTCTGCAGTGAAGGGGAGCGCTGTGAGATTAAGAGGGCCGAGGTCCCCCAAGCCACCCCTCAGCACCCCCACTGCTCCACCCTCCGCCCAGACCCTTGGGACATCCATGCAGAAGGAGCCGGGACGCTGGTGCAGTCCCGACTCACAGTGAGGAGGTGGCTTCCCAAGAGAGGAAAAGGCTTCCCCAGGGTCACATGCCCCTGAGACCCAGGGCCCCTGCCCCCTCCCTGCCGTGATGCCACTCTCTTCCATTGCTCTCTGTTCCTTCCCCTTCCTTCTTCCCACTCCCGGGGCCTCCTCTCCATGTCCTGAGAACTGTCCAACAAGGGGGCCATCTGCAAAGGGACCAGGGGCGAACGCCCGGCCCTGAGTGCTGGGGCCGAGAGGGCCACCGGGCGTGCTGTGTAGGCCCTGGAGCTGTGCGAGGCCTTCCTCACGCCCTCCTGTCTGCGCACAGCACACAAGCACAAGAAGCAGGACATGCTGCAGCCCTGCGACACCGAGTACCCCGTGTTCGTGCACCAGCCGGCCATCCAGGAGACCAACGGGCTCATCGAGTGCGGGGCCTGCCACAAGTAAGTCGCGAGGCAGCTCTGCCCGGCCAGGGCCACGCCGTCCCCTCCCCTCCCGGCAAGGGGCAGCCAGGTGGGGCCTGGGGGTCCTCCCAGGGGTCTTGCCCCCCTTCCTCAGCGGAGGAAACACAGGGACCAAGCCAGGGCACAGCGGGGGACCAGGGCGCTTTCCTCCCCGCCCAGGCCCTGCGCCGCCCTCCCGCGGCCCCAGCCCCGCCCGCTCAGGCGCCGGCAGCCCCGAGGGCAAGGGCTGTGCAGGAGAACGGCCGCCTCGCCGCTCGCGAAGGTCCCCCGGAGTGTGCGGCAGCGCAGGGCCCAGACCCGCGCGCCGCCCCCTGCCCCTCCCGCCCGTCGCGCCCCGCCCCCTGCCCCGCCGCGCCGTGAGCGGGAGCGCTGCGCCACCTGGTGGCCGCCCTCCGCACCGCGGCCTCCCGCCGGCGGCCCCCACTCCTCGCATCCCCGCTTGCTGGGACAGTCCGGATTTATGCCGCGCTCCCTGCGCATATTAACAACGACTCTTTCCAGCATCCCCGTGTGCACTCCCTCCCCTTCTGCAGCCCGCCGGGAGGGGAGAACGAGCGGCACGGGCTTGTGGGAAAGGCAGCTGCAGGCCCGAGTCGTTCGCCCGGGACTGTTCCCGGAGCCCCGCTGCCCCCAGGGTCTGCTCCTGCCCCGCCACCCGACTCCACGCCGCTCGTCTCCGCGACGGCTCTCCCTGGAAGCCCTTCCCGGGGTCGCCGCCGCGCCCGCCGCGCACGAGCGCGCGAGCCGAGCCTCTCTTCCCGCAGGACGTTCGCGATGCGGCGGATCCCCGGCAGCAACCTCCTCCTGCTGGTGACGGACCCCACCTGCGACTGCAGCGCCTTCCCGCCAGTCCTGCAGGAGCCCACCGAAGTCAAGTATATCCTTCCCGCGCCCGGGGCTGCGGGCTGCGGGAGGGGGGTGTCGACGTCACTGGGGGGCGCGCGGCCCGAGCCGGCACGTGTCCCCCCTCCCGTCCCGGAGCTGCTTGCGCGGCAGGGGCCCCCGGTGTCCGCACTTTGACCTTGACGGCGAGCCGCGCACATAACGCCGCGGTCAAGTGCGACAGGATGCGCTCCCAGAAGCTGCGCCGGCGACCAGACTCCTGCCACGCCTTCCACGCAGAGGTGCGGGCCGGGGCGCGGGGAGCGGCGGGGCGGGGGCTTCGTGCCGGAATTCCGGGCGCTGGGCCGGGACACCGATGACGGGCAGCTCAGGGCGACCCTCACGCACGTGCATTCCGCTTACATCCGGTGACGCTGCGACACAATGAGAAATATGCATGTGGCCTTTGTCCTCGGTTCCTGGCACAGAGTCCTAAAACCTTGTAATTTTCTGAGTGACGGGGTGATAGGAGCATCCTTCGTTCTAATACTTGGTCTTAGTCCCTGGTTCCTGACACAGGTGCTTCTAAGACCCGCGGGATGACAGGAGTGCCTTTGTGCGTGCCAATTAGATGACTGGGGGCTGGGGGCCCTTCGGGGTGGGGGCCGGACACTGGAAAGGTCAGGCGTGAGGAGAGGGCTGGACGTTCGGCCACCCCTGCCCGCTGGGGAAGGGAAGGGGCTGGAGGTTGAGTCTGTCACCAGTGCGCGATGATTCAATCAGTCTCGCCTGCACGGTGAGCCCTCCACGAACCCTGAGCAGCGGGGTCGGGAGCGCTTTGGGCCGGTGGCCACATCCGCGTGCTGGGCGGGGCGCGCCCAGAGAGGGCGCGGAAGGTCGCACGCCCCCTGCCTCGCCCTGTGCGTCTCTTCCATTTGGCCGTTCCTGGGTTGTATTAATAAGCTGGGAATAGCGAGTGCCTTCCTGAGTTCCGTGAGCCGTTCTAACAAATTCTCCAACCTGAGGCGGGGGTCATGGGAGCCCTTGATGCGTAGCTCGTGCGTCAGAAGTGCTGGAGGCCCCCGAGGGGTGGCTGGTGTCCGCAGTGGAGGAGGCTTGCGGGGCTGGACCCTTTAGCTTGTGGGGTCTGGTGCCAACTCCAGGCAGACAGTGTCAGAGTTTAATTGAATCGTAGGACACTGAGTTGATGTCCACAGAGCTGGAGAATTGGTCGGGGTGGGGAAACGACCCCCCGTTTGTGGTCAGAAGTAGCATTGTAAGAACACATCAGAGACCCATGCCACTGGAATACTGTCACCCGGGATCCCTGCTTGAGCCTCGGTGAACGAAAATCCACCTTTCTCGCCTTGTGCTCACTCCCACTGCACTGAGCTCCGAGTGATCTGAGCACACGGGAGGAAGTCATGTGCAGGTGATAATAGTCACCCAGTCTGCCCAGGCGGAGCGGGCTGGAGCCAGCTCTCGGGCCAAGTGGACGGCCTCTGCCCGCCCTGTAGGGTGGGGGTCTAAGAAAGGTGGCAGTGCTGCCCCCACTTTCTGAAAGTCCCCTCTCCCCAGGGTTTTGGCCTTGTTCGCTGCAGAGACCACCCCTACCCCCAGCCTGGCCTCCGCTAGGAGCATGGCCCTGTCACCTCTGCTCTGGGTTTGCAGGAGAACGCCCAGGACTGCGGTGGCGCCGCGGACACCTCTGCCTCGCTGTGGCTGCTCCTGCTGCCTCTGTGCGCCTGGGGGCTACCGCCCCAGCTTCTGCGGTGACACTCACCAGCCTGACCTGTGTTTTGGCAAGGTGATCCTTCAAGAGACATTCTAAAAAGTCAGCACTGGGGGGGCAAGGACACCATACGGAACCTAAACATCTGTACCCCCATAATATGCTGAAATAAAAAATAAAATAAAATGAAAAAAAAAAAAGTCAGCACTGTCATGGGGTCCAGCTCACCGCATTTGGGTTCTCACCCAGGCCAATGCGCCTCTCAATCCCGGGCTAATCGTCCCTGTCTCTGGAGATTGCTGGGTGGAACAAGAAACCAGCGTCCCAGAGACACTTGCCAAAGATACTCCAGGGTGCCTGTGCCGTCCACTCCCGTCTCCATGGGCGTCCTCTGTCCTTCCTCTCTCCTCTTCAGAGGCCAGCATGAGCTCCGCTCAGACCAAGACAAAAGAATTAAAAAGAACTTAGTTCTACCTGTGTTCTAGACGTGCAGCCCCAGGCCAGAAAGGCTCAGCTGTCCCTGATGAACCACAGTGGTCTTCAGGAGAACCCAAGGGCTTCCGGATGCGGAGGAGGAGGAGCAGGATGGGGCTAAGGCAAGAACAGCCCTGCCGAAGGCATGGCCATGGAGCCTCCCAGAGTGAGACCCGCCCCAGCGAGGGCGGCTCTCTTCCCTAGCTGCTGCCCGGAAAAGTCTTGAGTGTGTGTGTGAGAGAGGGAGAGAGAGAGAGGGGGGAAGGTAGGGGAGTAAATTGTGTGTGTGTGTGTGTGTGTGTGTGTGTGTGTGTGAGTGTGTGTGTGTGTGTGTGAGTGTGTGAGTGAGACAGACAGAGAGGGAGGGAGGGGAAGGGAGGGGAGTCAACAGAGATGGGAAAGACCCAGAACAGGAACGGGTATTAAATCCTTTCAGGAAACATTGACATGACTGCGTGTGATGTCCCCAAAGTGTTGCTATTAAAGAACTTTTCAAAGCCGTGACCTAAAGGATATTTTGCATCAGCTAAAAGGCCAGGAGGCTGGGCACACGGCAGCCGCACGGCCAGGGCCGTGCACTCCGGGGAGGTGGCAGGAGCAGCTGCGGCGAGCAGAGGCCGCGGTGCAGAGAGCAGCCGCCACACGACAGGCGGGGGCGTCTGCTGAGCGCCAGCTCCAGACCCCCATGAGGTCCAGGCCCCCCTGCAGCCCTTTTCTGGCCACTGACCTACAACAGAAACTACTTGGCTCTGTCCCTGGGCAGAAACCCTTGGGGCTGGAACTTTGGGGAACATTCCGATTTGCAGAGTTCGCTGGGAAGGGAGCTGGAGCTGGGAACTCGCCCCACCCCTGTGGCCCACGGGCGCGTGGACACACACACGCATCTCCCCCTCGAACCCCAAGACTTGAACCCGTGCGACGGCACTCTCCACCGTGACAGCAACATTAAGGGCATGCAGAAACTCTGGGGTGGCCTCACACCATCAGCGTGCCCACCTCCGATGGCTGGCGTGGGCGCCACGCAGGCCCCTGGGGGCTCCTTCGTCATCCCCTCCGCCCTGGGCGCCCGGCTGCCAGGCGCAGGCTGGTCAAGTTTCCCGGCGAACGGCCGCAGCTTCCCTCTAGAGCAGGCCACAGCTACAAAACGCACTCGTCATCGTACTCGTAAAGTGCCTTATAGGCCAGACAACGTCACCTTCACTGTCTACATCTCGCAACCGCCCTGGGCCGTAGTGCTAACGCCCCCTTCACAGCAGAAGAAACTGAGGCTCAGAGAAGCCAGCTTCAGTGGCGGAATCTCGTTAAATCCTCACCGTAACCCCCAGAAGTGGGTCCTGTGATTAGTCTCGTAGCCGATGAAACAAGCACAGAGCTGAAAACTGCTCTGAATTATTGGGAGAGAGCTGTGAAGACCGAATGTGCCTGGCACAGAGGACGCGCGAAACACGTTAGCTGCCATCGTTCCGTCACCCTGCTGCATGGCGGTGGGTGTCGGGAACAACAAGCAAAGGCTGTAGGTGTCCAGCAGGCCCAGGTGGGTTAAGAAGGCGGCGGGGAGCACTTCCCCACCCCCGCCCCGCCCACGGCCCACCTGCGTCTGTGGCATTAAGGAACGTTCTGACCTCCAGCAGCATTTGATCCCAACCGCTGACTCACGGACACCGACCACTCGCCTCCCTCTAGGACAAGAGTCCAGTGTTGTCTTCTGGAAGCTTGTCCTCCCCACCCAAGCGGGAAGAGCATTTTCAGGCAAATTTACCAACTCGTAAAAAGCCAAGCTGGGGAAGAGCTGGGCAGCGCCTGGCCTTGTTTTATCTGCTTCCCCGGGGCCCGGTCTCTGCGCAGCCAAGGGTGCACTGAAGACCTGGAAATCCCTCCGGGGCCGGTGGAGGCAAAACTCATTTCTGATAAACCAACCCTGCTCTCCTCTACCTTGGAGAACAGAATATTCTAAATCTTGCCTTTGAAGGTCAGAACTAGTTTTCCTCTTTCTACTTTTAACAAACACTTTTATTAAAGGACAGCAGGTGGCAGCCTGACTCACGCCAAAGAGCCATCACCTTGACGTCAGAGGAACGAAGCTGGGACCTGTCATTTAATAAAGTGGGGTACGGAATTTGCAATCTCTCTTTTATAAACGTACACTTTGGAGGGCCAAGAGCCCATGGATGCTGTCAGACCCCCTCCTCAGTACCAGGGATAATACTCACTACTAAATCCACCTAATAATTTTGTATTGTACATTGCACTTTTAGGTAAAATGCTTCAACAACCACTTCACGATGCTAAGTGAAGTTTTGGTTCAGGAGGACAAGGGAGTGGACACACCTTAAGGCCAGAAAAGTAAATATGAGGTTTTGGGTGACTCGAAGACCACAAACGGAAGAAATTAGAGCAAGGGTTGGCAGAATCATTAGCCAACCGCGATGGATGTTTAAGACAAATTATCTGTGAGAGCCACGGCATCTGAGAGAGGGATGCAAAGGATGTATTATTGGCCCCGTTTTACCAGAACACGGAGGCCGGAGAAGCAAGCAACTCATTGCTCTGTGATGCGGCAAATGGCAGAACTGGGCTGTAGAGCTCCCCCCTCTCGTTTCTGGGCTAGCCGGGCAAGGCAGCGACGGCAGCACAGCCAAACAAGAGGCTGTGGGAACGTGCAGCTTCCTCGGCACCCCCAGCCCTGAGCCATGACATCACAAGCACCCCGACACCCGTGAGCCAGACTGGCCTTGTTTTCAGTGACTAGTCAAAAAGCTGAAGGCAGAAAAGATTTGTACATTAGACAGGACACGGGTGGTGAGCAAATGGTCCATGCCCACTGAGGAAGGACAAAATGGAATGTGTTACAACGGAAGCAGAATGTTCGAGAAAAGGATATTTTTTTCCCAGGATAATTTTAAAGCAACATTGCCCAGGGGCTTCTCTAGGGCACCCGGAGCACTAGCATTCTATGAAGTTGAAACTCAAACTCCCAGGAGTTCGAGGCTGCAGTGAGCTGTGATCGCGCCACTGCACTCCAGCCTGGGCGACAGGAGACCCCGTCTTCTAAAAAACAGAAACAAAAAACCTCCGACTGCCCTTGTTATTTCCTCTACAATATTCATGGGACATCACCTGAGTGACAGGAAGCATACAGACAGCTTTTAGCAAGACAGAGGGAAAGTGGCTTATTCACAGGCCTCAGCTTATTTTTTATCAGAAGCACAACGCGATCCAGTGTTCTGTATCCGGGTAATATATGGGACTCCCTAAAGTTGTATCTATAGTTTAAACTGAGAATTCAAAATGGACATATCTTCCCAATACTGGAAATTCTCCTGCAAAAACTCGATTTACGTAAGACAAAAGAGTTGGGATTTCCTCTTCTTAAATAACATAGAAGGGATCAGGTTAACAAACCCTAAAACCTTCAAGTCAATATCTATGAAACTGTTTAATCAGAAAAATAAACTCAAGTACAGAGAGAAAGCAATTTTCTCCTTAAATTTCCTTTTCATTGTCTTCTCCCATACAGAGTGCTGGCACTAGAAGTCAGGCAAACTTTCTAAGCTTCAATTTCTTATCTATAAAATGAGGATGAAAATAACAGACTAGCTCAGAGTTATTACATGAGAGATCAATAGTTCTTTAACACATCCCTTGGCATAAAGTGTTCATTATATTAGGTATTAGTTTTATAAATTTTAATAAATGAATTATGAACTGACCCTTGAGGCCAGGCACGGTGGCTATATAATCCTAGCCCTCTGGGAGTACGAGGCAGGAGGACTGCTTGAGGTCAGGAGTTCGAGATCAGCCTGAGCAAGAGTGACCCCATCTTGGGCCAGGCGCGGTGGCTCACGCCTGTAATCCTAGCTCTCTGGGAGGCCGAGGCAGGCGGATTGTTTGAGCTCAGGAGTTCGAGACCAGCTTGACCAAGAGCAAGACCCCATCTCTACCAAAAAAATAGAAAGAAATTAATTGGACAACTAAAAATACATAGAAAAAATTAGCCGGGCATGGTGGCGCATGCCTGTAGTCCCAGCTACTCAG